GATCCCGAAGGAAAAAAAAAAAAAACAGGTTCCAAAAAGAGCCGAGATCATCGGGAAGCCCCAAATGGGGTAGGTTTCGCATCCCGCCTCCCCCAGATGGAACCCCGGTGACCAGAAACCTCTACAAGCACAGCTCGAGTATGCAGGAACTAGGACTTTTCCTCAAAACCTCGCGGCCACTTGTGCGGCCGCGCGACATCTCTCTACATACAAAGTGATCCATATATACAAAGTAAACCACCCAACGTTTCTCTCTGAAAATCATAGTTAAGTTTGGAGCACGGCCACAGCCCCAGAAACACAAGGACTTAATGCATAACCCAGCAGCTTGGATCAGAAAAGTGAATGGGCTATGCGTTAATCCAGGCCATCATGACTGTCCAGAGGGGAAAGGGTGTTGCCCCATTCGCCCTCTCCTCTCTGGAAAGAAAGATGGCGGCCACATGGGAGCCTTGTGGACAGCAGGTATGAGCCGGGGGTGTGGGGGCGACTAAAACCTCATGGGAAGGGGGGCGTTCCGGTCCGTCCTTCACACCCTACCGAGGTCACCAGTTGCCCCCCACGAGCGGCTCTCCAGCACGGCCACAGCCCCAGAAGCACAAGGACTTAATGCAGAACCCAGCAGCTTGGAGCAGAAAAGTGAAAGGACTATGCATTAATCCAGGCCATCAAGTCTGCCAGAGGGGAAAGGGGGTTGCCCCATTCGCCCTCTCTTCTCTGGAAAGAAGGATGGCAGCCTCATGGGAGCCTTGTGGACAGCAGGTATGAACCGGGGGTGTGGGGGCGACTAAAACCTCATGGGAAGGGGGGCGTTCCGGTCCGTCCTTCACGCCCTACCAAGGTCACCAGTTGCCCCCCTCGAGCGGTTCTCCAGCACGGCCACGGCCCCAGAAGCACAAGGACTTAATGCAGAACCCAGCAGCTTGGAGCAGAAAAGTGAACGGACTATGCGTTAATCCAGGCCATCATGGCTGCCCGGAGGGGAAAGGGTGTTGGTCCCTTCCACCCTCCTCCCTCTGGAAAGAAAGATGGCGGCCACATGGGAGCCTTGTGGACAGCAGGTATGAGCCGGGGCTGTGGGGGCAACTAAAACCTCATGGGAAGGGGGGCGTTCCGGTCCGTCCTTCACGCCCTACCGAGGTCACCAGTTGCCCCCCACGAGCGGTTCTCCAGCACGGCCACAGCCCCAGAAGCACAAGGACTTAATGCAGAACCCAGCAGCTTGGAGCAGAAAAGTGAACGGACTATGCGTTAATCCAGGCCATCAAGTCTGTCGGAGGGGAAAGGGTGTTGCCCCATTCGCCCTCTCCTCTCTGGAAAGAAAGATGACGGCTGCATGGGAGCCTTGTGGACAGCAGGTATGAGCCGGGGGAGTGGGGGCGACTAAAACCTCATGGGAAGGGGGACGTTCCGGTCCGTCCTTCACGTCCTACTGAGGTCACCAGTTGCCCCCCGCGAGCGGCACTCCAGCACGGCCACGGCCCCAGAAACACAAGGACTTAATGCAGAACCCGACATCTTGGAGCAGAAAAGTGAACGGACTATGCGTTGATCCAGGCCATCAGGTCTGTCCGGAGGGGAAAGGGTGTTGCCCCAGTCGCCTTCTCCTCTCTGGAAAGAAAGATGACGGCCGCATGGGAGCCTTGTGGACAGCAGGTATGAGCCGGGGGTGTGGGGGCGACTAAAACCTCATGGGAAGGGGGACGTTTCGGTCCGCCCTTCACGCCCTACCGAGGTCACCAGTTGCCCCCCTATGAGCGGCTCTCCAGCACGGCCACAGCCCCAGAAGCACAAGGACTTAATGCAGAACCCAGCAGCTTGGAGCAGAAAAGTGAAAGGACTATGCGTTAATCCAGGCCATCATCTCTGCCCAGAGGGGAAAGGGTGTTGGTCCCTTCCGCCCTCCTCCCTCTGGAAAGAAAGATGGCGGCCACATGGGAGCCTTGTGGACAGCAGGTATGAGCCGGGGATGTGGGGGCGACTAAAACCTCATGGGAAGGGGGGCGTTCCGGTCCGTCCTTCACGCCCTACCGAGGTCACCAGTTGCCCCCCGCGAGCGGCTCTCCAGCACGGCCACGGCCCCAGAAGCACAAGGACTTAATGCAGAACCCGGCAGCTTGGAGCAGAAAAATGAATGGACTATGCGTTAATCCAGGCCATCAGGTCTGTCCAGAGGGGAAAGGGTGTTGCCCCAGTCGCCTTCTCCTCTCTGGAAAGAAAGATGGCGGCCGCATGGGAGCCTTGTGGACAGCAGGTATGAGCCGGGGTAGTGGGGGCGACTAACACCTCATGGGAAGGGGGGCGTTCCGGTCCGTCCTTCACGCCCTACCGAGGTCACCAGTTGCCCCCCACGAGCGGCTCTCCAGCACAGCCACGTCTCCAGTGCACAGAAACCAATTTCTTAACTATCTGACTTTCAGTAGAAATACTTCCAGGTTCAATAAGTAAAATAGCAGAAATCCAAAACCAACATTTAATTCTTGAACCCAGCTGTAGAAAGCAAATCACTTCACAATGCTTTTTCAGCATGTCTGATTTGGAGGGGGGGGGGGTAAACTCTAAATAATAGTGGTGAATCTTTTATTGAAACAATGAATCTAATCAAAGCAGATAGAGTGTTAACTAGAATTCATCTGCCCCACAGGGACTGGGAGGGGTGGGGGGGTGGGGTTTTATTGGGGTTCTTCATGGTAAAAAATAAGTTTTGGTAAAGGGAAATGTGTTTGATATTTGCATGACTGAGACCTAAACCTGAAAGCTTTGTAACCTTTCCCACGGTGATTCAATAAAGAAATAAAAAAAAAAAAAGTACCCCAAAAAGAAGTCTACAGAGTGAAAATAGGTTTCTAAAATATGCAACTGTGTATACACCGTAACTCCAATTCTGTCATCTGTGCTCATATAAGAGTCCCAGAGGGCAAAGTAAATACAGTCATCAGGCTGACTGCCACGGGTTAGACGCAGGTCCAGCTTATTAACGATTCAAGGTTTTCTTTAACATGCATTTTATTTACCAACAAAAATGAGGAAAGCGGGTATGGATGTGTGCCAGCATCTCAAATTAACTATCGAACTTATTTTCTATAAGCCATATGGTCATTGGCTTATTATTCATTCACCAGCATTATCGCTCTTAAATCGAAGTTCCTAGCATACCCCCTATGGCAAGCGTCCAACAAATGGGACACATAAATCAGAAGTACCGCATAAAACTTTCAAAATCTGCCAAGGAAGAAAGCAAGCAAAGAAGCATAATCATAGCGCTGTAGCACTGTCGTCCCATTGGTCATCGATTTGCTCAAGCAGGCACCGGTAACGTCTCCATTGTGACACTTGTTGTTACTGCTTTTGGCATTTTGAATATGCCACAGGGAGCTTGCCAGGCTCTGCCGTGCGGGCGGAATACTCTCGGTAGCTTGCCGGGCTCTCCATGAGGGATGGAGAAACAGAACCTGGGTTGGCCGCGTGCAAGGCAAACACCCTACCCACTGTGCTATCGCCCCAGACCAATATACTGTGACTCCAAGCAGATATCCAAAAGGCAGAGAGAAGAGTTGATGAAGGAATTCGTGGAATGAAATCAGTTCAGTTACAGCCAATTAGGAGGAAGGGCAGTTCACATCTGACCAGCGATTTGCAAAGTGGCGAGAGGAATCAGTAGGTCATAATTCAACTTGATCATGCTAAACACTCTCTTCACCTAGGTTCCTAGTGCTGACATAGTGATGCTGACTTTGAACTCAATACGCAGAAAGAAAGAAAGCATAGCGGACCACCAAAACTTGCAGGTCAAAAAGGACTTATCAAAGACCACAATTTCTCTCCTCCCTCCTTGAGAAGCATTTACGATGTCTCTCAAAACCCAGGCTTCACCTCGAGGGCAGAGCAGTGACCTCACTGGACCAGCCCGGAAGGAAAAATTACAGAGAATGAAAATCTGCCCACTCAGAAGACAGGTTCATTATCCAAAAGGAAGTCTTTCTGAACTGCAGGTGAGGCCCTTGGATCGACAGTGAGAGTAAAAGGCATGTACACAGGATTAGCTAGAGATGTCCTCATTGATCACAGAAGAACTGGCTAACTCTTATCCATATGTTTTATGTTGTACTGGAAAAAAACAATAATTCGATTTATCTTCATCAAAGGCATTTTCTGTTTTTTTTTTCTTTTTTCTTTTACTTTTTGGATCACACCTGACGATGCTCAGAGCTACTCCTGGCTTTGTGCTCAGGAAGTATTCCTGGCAGTGCTGAGGGACCTTATGGGATGCCAGGGTCAGCTGAGAGCAGGGTAAATACCCTCCCCGCTGTACTATGACCCTGGCCCCTCAAAAGTATTTTCTACCCAGTACTTTCCCTGGAGAACCCAGCAAGCTACCTAGAGTATCCCGCCCGCATGGCAGAGCCTGGCAAGCTACTGTGACGTATTCGATATGCCAAAAACAGTAACAACAAGTCTCACAATGGAGACGTTACTGGTGCCCGCTTGAGCAAACTGACGAACAAAAGGAGGACAGTGCTACTCTCCTGGGAGGTGTGCATGGCCACCCTACTCTTCTCCATGCAGTTCCCACACAGACAAATGGAACACAAAGATGCCGCTTTCGCCACTGTCCTTCCCACATCGGCTCACAACGGTCACCTTAAGGGACGCGTTCTCACGCGTAAGAGGCTGGTGGCTCTGACCAGATTTTTGAAAACCCTAGAATATGATCAGTAGGGATTTAATTTCTTATTGGCCCCGGAGACATGGTGGGGTGGCGAGTCTCCTGTTTCACACACGCAGGACGGGGCCGCAGAAGCCTCCAAGACAAATATTTTAAGTGCTGCACCTTCAAAGAGATTCCAGCCTCGTCGGCAACAAATATTTATGGCACGTTTTAGATGTCCCCTTTTATACACGAAGACTGAACGTCGCACCCTGTAAACGCTCGGCCGGGCCAGGCTCGGGTTTCGGCGGCGGCGGCGGCCGTGGCGGGAGACGCCCGGGGGTCCCCTTACCTGACAGCGCGTCCTGAGCCTCGAAGAACGTGCTGAGACCCCCTTTGACGTAGGCCAGGCTGCCTTCGCTCTTCTTGTTGGCCTGTCTCTTCAGGTTGCTGACTGCCATTTTCAGCTGCTCAAAACTGAAGGGAAACACAGAAAGCAAGATGTGGAGAGGCCTGGCGAGATTCGGAGCCAACGTGCTCGGTGGCACCGGGGTCAAGGACAAAGAGCGTCCGTGCCCTTCCCGGGACCTTCACATGTTATGGACACCCAACAGTCAACAGTGATCAAAGCGTGACGGTCTGCTCCTCCAAACCTCAGGAGCCCACATGGATAAAATCATCAATGCTTTTATTCCCCTCCCCCTCCTTTATTTGATTTTGGGGCCACAGTTGGTAGTGCTAGGGCTTACTCCTGGCTCTGTGCTCAGGGATCACTCCGGGCAGGGCTCTGGGGACCTTATGAGATGCTGGGGATCAAACCCAGGTATGCTGAATGCAAGGTTAGTGCCCTCCTCGCTGTATGATTTCTCCACCCACATCCATGAATAGTTCTGTGATGAACACACGATACACGATACACGAACATCCTGTTGTTCATCGATTGCCTCGAGCAGGCACCAGTAATGTTTCCTTCATCCTAGCCCTGAGATTTTAAAAAGTGCCATATTCAAGGCTCTTTCAGGGTCAGAAGAATGAGACCCATCATTGTTATTGGTTTTTGGCAAATTGAATATGCCACGGGGAGTTTGCCAGACTCTGCCGTGTGGGCAGGTTACATTCGGTAGCCTGCCGGGACGTCCAAAGTAAGAATGAGATAATAAGATGTGATGAACAGTATAGCATAAATGTGATCCGCCAGGCGAAGGGTCTGGCCAACTGTTCTCACGTGCTCCTCTCTGCCTTCTGGACATGAGCTGACCAGACCGCTAGCCCCACCACAGACACCCAGTCCTCTCTCACTAACAGGGAACTTACAGGAGGCCAATGTAGAACAGTTCTGAACATGTTCCTGAGTTCCGTGACAGGCCTACACAGAAAACGGGGATCAACTCTGACTTGGTTCCAACCACAGAAAAACCAGAGTCGTAACATCCAATAGAATCACCCACCACAATGAAAAGTGAGACATTTGCTTTGAAAATTGGGGCTGGAGTGATAGCACAGCAGGTAGGCATTTGCCCAGCACGCGACCGACCCGGGTTCGATTCCCAGCATCCCATACGGTCCCCCAAGCACCGCCAGGAGTAATTCCTGGGTGCAGAGCCAGGAGTAACCCCTGCGCATCACCAGGTGTAACCCAAAAAGAAAAAAAAATAATCAACAGTCTGGGGCTAGAGTGATAGTCCAGTGGGTAGGGCATTGGCCTTGTACGCGACTGACCCGGGTTCAATCCCCAGCATCCTATATGATCCCCCAAGCACTGCCAGGAGTAATTCCTGGATGCAGAGCCAGGAGGAACCCCAGAGCATCACTGGGTATGACCCAAAGAAAAGCAAAAACAAAAAAAAAATGCAGCATTCTGGGGGCCCGAGAGATAGCATGGAGCCCCGAGAGATAGCACAACAGGTAACATGACCTGAACACGCCTGACCCAGGTTCGAGCCTGGTCCCACCCAATGTGATTCCTGAGCACAGAGCCAGCAGCCTATTAGCGGCAACCCCTGGGAGCCCAACCCCCACTGACCTCGTATTGGAATGATTCTCTATCAGGTACCAGGCAGCTGAGAAATTCTCACTGGTGAAATCCGCACTCATTCCTGGGAACAGCGTTTCCAAGTCCTTCTGGGGAAATTTACTCCTGCACAAGGAAAAAAATCAAAATGTTTGCATTGTAAGGTGCTACTATTACTACTCTCACGTAATAAACAGGAAGAAAAGGGTTGAAACATTATGGAGCATCTGTATTTGCACGAAATCGATGAAATCATCCCCTCCTCATTAAGTGGAAAAACAAAATTTAGACATCCTTAAATCCTAAAACACTAAACCAGTTTGTTAAGATGAGTTTTGCTTGAAGAACTACACCCAAAACAGAACCAAACCAAACAACAACAACAAAAATCCCTTGCAAATCACCAGCCCGGGTTGGATCCCCAATATGCCATATTGTCTCCCACGCACCACCAGGAATAATTCCTAAGTGCAGAGTCAGGAATAACCCCAGAGCATCGCCAGGTGAGGCCCTCCAACAAAACACAATTTAAAAAGGAACTATATGGAAACATGGTTAAGACAAAACGAATGAGGACTGAAGAGAATACGGGATAGAAAACCCTTGCCTTGAACACAGCAAACCCTGGGTCAAATCCCAGCAGCATCTATGATCCCCAGGGCACACCGAGGGTCACTGCTGGTGCCAATCTCTCGGATAAGCTTAGAAAAGCACCTGGTGGCAGCCAGCACACAGCCTGCAACTTGCTTTCCTGCAGTTTGAAAGTCCACATTTGGGGCAATCCATTCATTGACTCTTTCACCACCAGGCTCTGCTTCGTCTAAGAGCAAGAGGATGTGGACAGAGGTGGTCACTCTGGGCCCTCTGGCTCGTGCTGCGGGCACCTGCCCCCCCCACCCCCCCACCCCCGTGCACACTGAAGCCCAGGTTCTGTTGTCCAGTTTCTCTGTGCCCAGAACCTCTTTCTCTCACAACTCCACAAACCTCAGGCTGCAGCCAACTTCACGGGGCGATGCTTCCCCGCTCCGTGGTCCTTTCTTTTGGTTCTTCTGTCTCACTGTCCCCCTGGGCCCACAGGACACGTCTCCCAACAACCCTGCACTGAATGAGCAGTTCACGAGCACAGGAACCACCCTGGACACGGGATCATTTCGTTTCTTATAGCCTGGAGTCCCTCTAACATGTATGTACACGCCCCCCCACTGTGCAGGAAAGTACGGGCAGCCCAATGGCCTCAGCCCACACCCCTCGACGTCCTTAGGACACAGAGACTGGACCCTGAAATCAGGCAGCGGGCCCAGGCCCAACAAGCCCTCTTCACCCCACGAGACACTGCCCAGGTCTGTCTCCGCCAGACGGGCAGGAACGGGACAGTCTCAGAGTCCGTCTCCCCACCCAGCCCGGGGGCATTCTCAGGGCCCCCAGATTGCGGGGGACCATCCTGCTTGGCCCCCTTTCCTCTCGGGGACCTCAACTCGCAGGGGCATTCGAGAAGCTGAAGTCCTTCCCTGGATGGTGGCGGGGACTGTCCTTCCCTCAATGACACCTGCGTCCCCGGGTGCTGCTCCGGGCACATGCACACACAGTGAGTGTGGGTGACGGTGTGTGTGTGTGTGTGTGTGTGTGTGTGTGTGTAAGAGTGGGGTGCGCACAGTGAGTTTGGATGGTGATGTGGGTGTATGACGGTGTGTGTGTAAGAATGAGGGTGTGCATAGTATGTAGGGATGACGATGCGTGAACCACGATGCATGGGTGGGTACACTGTGTGAGTATGACGTGTATATGAACAGAACGTGTATGAGCAGTGTGCACGTACGTATATGATGTGTATACGTGGCCTACGTTTGCACGCAGAGTATGTGTACGTGGGCTGTACCGACGGAGCACTTGTGAATAGGGTATGATGTGATGATGCATGTGTACATGATTTGTAGTATGTGTGTATGGGTGTATGTGAATGCTGTGTGTGATGTATGTGCACGTGATTTATAGTACGTGTGTGAGTAGCGTGTGATGATGTATGCATGTATGATTTACAGGGTGTGTGTGTGTGTGTGAATATTGTGTGTGATGAGTTACATGTATGTGATTTGCAGGACGCGTGAACAGCGGGTGTCTGGGATGGGTGTGAACAGTATGGTTCAGTAGGGCAGAGTGAGAGGCACGTGTCTGCCTGTGTGAACAGTGTCCACGTGTGTCTGTGTCCGTGTGTGAACCGTCCGCAGTCACACGCCCTTCCTACCAGGCAGCTCACTTGGCGAGAGCACTGCAGAACTCTGCATTTCAAGAAGTTTATTTTGCTTCAGGATCTTCACGCTGGTCTGATACTTTACTTAGGAAAAGAATCCCGTCACCTTTGGGAGTTTTTCTCGCTTTCTTTATTTGTTCATCACGTCTCAAGTTAGACGTTTTACAGGATCTAAGAACTGGGTAGAGACGCAGGCTATGCCCTGGTTCGGGAGCCAGAAACCTGTCCCAGGTACCACAGGCTGTGCCCACGGCTCTCCTTTCTCTGCTGCCCTCCACACGCTGAAGACGGCGTGACGGCCAGGCGCGTGGGTTCTTCCCAGGGGTTCAAGGGTGGGTGGCGCCATGTTCTTACCTCTCACCGCTCCCCACACATGTTTGAAAGCTAAATTCTTACCTGGACGAAAGGCACTGCACACTCTCCACGACCACCCAAGCCCTGCCAGTCTTTAGCAACGGTCCAGGGACTGGAAATCTGCTCCCAACATCCTCAAGTCTGCCCAGTGACAAAGCTGCACACTGGGGCTCAGGGGAGCTTCTCCCTCCCTCCCTCAGCCCTGCCACCACCTGACACTGGGCCTGCAGGTGCACTAGCCCTGCCCGGCAGGAACAGAGGGAAGGGGACCGTCTGCTCAGTCCAGCTCTACGCTGTAACCCACCTACGGAAGCAATGCCCACCTCGGAGACACTCAGCATCTCTCTGAGCCGACGCTCAGCGTCTGTGCCAGCTCCAGCACGTGAACTCGTGGGACGGCCTCATCAGGGAGTCACACACTTGTGCCCCCACGGCCGACTCTCCGGGAACGTGTTTCCCATCAGAGGGCAGTGCGAGCTCAGCTTTACAACGTCCATGTCGGTCCGTGCCGGGGAGATCCGTTCAGGCCCCTGGGCGGAGCCGACCAAGAGAAAGCGAACAGGGAGGTTCTGGGCACTGCAGATGCTTCCAAGCTTGCGAGCCCCTCATGGTAACAAGCCCCCCATGAGACTCCAGGCCGGTCTGGAAAAGCATCTCACCACCTGCGGGGCCTCCACCGGCAGGCGTCGCCGTGTGTGCACAACAGCGAATACGTTTCTTGATTTTGCACACGGCGAGGTGAGATGCAGCTCTTTGAGTGAGTGAGTGAGTGTGTGTGTGTGTGTGTGTGTGTGTGTGTGTGTGTGTGTGTACATCAGTCTCATTCTTTGAGGGTTTTTATTTTGATTTTTGGCACCGCTGTTTTCACTGTTGTACTAAGAGTATGAGCTTTAGGGATCTAGGAGCACTCTGTCTCCTCTCTCTCTCTCTCTCTCTCTCTCTCTCTCTCTCTCTCTCTCTCTCTCTCTCTCTCTCTCTCTCCCTCTTCTCCCCCTCCCTTCCCCCTTTCTTTCTTTCTCTCACTTTCTGTTTTTTTTCCCCACCTTGCAGTCTGACCATTTCTAGACTTTGGCACTACGTGCAATTCGCAAACCCGTCTTCGTCGAATTTCTACAATGCACAAGGTTCCTCGCTTCTGCCCTCATGCAAAGAACGGTTTTGCCACCTGTTCTTGTTTTCTAGAAGTGGCTGGAAAATGAGCCACCCTTTCTTTCCGTTGGAAAGCCAAAGTGACGAGAAGAAGAATCCGATTTTGCCTTGCCCCTAAGGCCCCGTCGAATAAACCGGCTACTAACGGGGCACCAACTGCAGCAACCATGCTACACAACCCTTCCCAGGCAACAACTCCCCCCCCCACAGTGGGCCGTGCCAAAACAAGGGGACAAAGCTCTATTTCTGCTTTGTGCTCCCCACCCCTCTCCGGCCCTGCCCCACTGCCACCCAGGTACCGCCTCTGGGAGCGATCCTTACAAACTCCCCTCTGTAAACGGTCACTGCCTGTTCCCGTAATCCAAACCCGACGTGACCTCCTTTTTCCACATCCACGGTTTTTGTCTCCAGCACAACCGGGGCCGTGCGGAGGCCCAGAGCTCTCCCTGTGACAGCCGGCGCAGTAAATCAGGAATACAGACGTTTTTACAAGCCAATCCTCGTCTCAGTTCAAAGGGAAGCTGGCTCTGTCCCGGGCAATTAGTACCAGTTTTATAAGAATCGAGGCACCATGTGCGCCAAACATCGGAGGAGAGCGTCAGGAACACGGAGGCCTGGGGCCGTCGGAGGAGGCCAATAAATGCCATTTGGGGAACTTGAGGGCTGAAGGATGGCAGCGCGCGTGCTGGTGTCACCGAGAAACTCTCCAAACTCCTGCTCATGCGACGAGAGCAAACCCTGTCTGAGTACTCCTGCTTTCTCCTCCAGACTCGGGACTGGCCACACCCCAGGGCCCCCCTGGGGTGCCCCCTGCCCACTTCAGTGTCGGCTGAGGAGAATTTCCATAAACCGAGATGACCTCCCAAAGGTGCACACCCGACTTCCACTGGGGAGTTCCTCGGGCCCGGGAAGAGTTTGTGTTTGTTCAACCCTCCGTCATCAGCGTCGTCCAACAAACATGGACTACTGGAAACCATGCAGTTACTTCTTCGGCACCATTTTTTAAGAAAGAAGACACAAGAAAATGATGGTTGGAGGAATCAGTCGGGACGGGAGACGTGTGCTGAAAGTAGATAAAGGACCAAACGCGACAACCTCTCGGTGGCTGTATTGCAAACCATAATGCCCAAAATATTGCCTGTCATGGAGGCAGGGGGAGGGTGGGAAAGGGAGATACTGGGGATATTGGTGTGGGGAATGTGCACTGGTGGAGGAATGGGTTTGATCATTGTGTGATTGTAACTCAAACATGAAAGCTTCTAACTACATCTCACAGTGATTCAATAAAATTTAAAAATAAAAATAAATAAATAAAATAAAAATAAAAAAATAAAAAATAAAAGAAATCAAACATGGGTCTTGAAATCAAACGGAA